TTGCATAAGTATGCAAACTAACATTGCAGTCCAATACATTAACCCTCAGTGTCACACCAATACTCCTTTCATAGAATTTAGGTCATTAAGTTAATTAGGTTCCTGTGTTTCAGTTACCCTATGGGTAATATCTGTTGTTAATTGCCGCTGAATTGGTTCTGACTCATAGCAGTCCTGTACAGGGTTTCCCAGGAGCAATGGTGAGTTTGAACTGCTGATTGTGTGGTTCAACTGACCTTTTGGTACAGCGCTTATTCTACAGCACCACTGGTTAAAATCTAATGCTTTGATATTATAAAACTCTAAAGTCTTTTTTATGTAAAAGAATCATAGTCAATAGCTTAAATCCTTACTCTTGTTGTTAAGTGTTGCTGAGTCTGTTCTGACTCACAGCGACCCTATATAGTTTTCAAGGGGCAGTTGGTGAGTTGTAACCGTAGACCTTGCAATAGCAGTCCAGAGCTTATCATACAACGCTATGCCAGGGCTCCTAAATCCTTAGTAAAACGTATCAATTTTCTTTAATAACCTAGGAAACCAAACATATAAGAGGGAGTTTTGTTTTTGTTTTTAATACAAAATGGAATGGCTTATTAAAAACCACAATACCTGTTAAGAAAAAATGTGATAGACTGGAAGAACATAAAACTACTGACAAGAGCTGTGCCCATTTCTACTGATTGTACAGCACCAATCATAAATTTGCATAAAAAAGCAACAGATGGTCTGATGTTATTTGTATTTAGATTTCTGGCAACCTCTCACCCACTCAATGCTAAAACAAAAAACAAAAAAACGACTATAGCTTATCTGGGATTTGATGTATAATACTTTAGTGAATTTATATTATACTTAAATATAAAGCAGCCACCCCTTGCCAAAACCAGGTTTCAATTACATTCATAGAAGTCAAATTACATAATCACGCTCAGATTATTTTTATGTGAATATAATTAAAATTTTACCTTGTAGTTGTAGACAACCGCTTATCAGTATTTTAACTAAAACTGGTCTCACTTAATGACCTAAATTCTATGAAAGGAGTCTTGGTGTGGCACTAAGGGTTAATGTACTGGACTGCAATGTTAGTTTGAACTGCAAGGTTGGCGGTTCAAGTCCCCCACCTGTTCCTCAGAAATCCTGTACAGGGTTGCTCTGAGTTGGAACTGACTCGATGGCACTTAACAACAAAAAGAACACCGTCTGAAAAGGGCTGCTGGTGTGGTGCTGTACAATCAGGGTTGGACTGCGAACCACAAGGTGGCAGCTGCTCCTCAGAAATCCTACACAGAGTCCCTGTGACTACAACTGGATGGCCGGAACTGAATGGATGGCACTTAATAACAATTCTACGAAAAAGAATTCTAAGGTTTATGTACTTTAAAATCAAAATGGAAACTACTACTATAATAATGATTCTTTATTGTATATGCTAATCTACTTAAACTTCTTAATACAATACTTTTTGTTGTTAGGTGCCGTAGAGTTGGGTCCAATTCACAGTGACCCTGTCTACACCAGAATAAAACACTGCCCAGTCCTGCACCATCCTAATTTTTATAATCGAGCCTACTTTTGCTGCCACTGTGTCAATCCATTTTGTTGAGGGTCTTCCTCTTTTTAGCTGACCCTCCATCTTTATCAAGCATGATGTCCTTCAGCAGCTATTGGTCATTCCTGATAACATATCTGAAATACATCAAACGAAGTCTTGCCATCCTGGCTTCTAAAGAGCATTCTGGGTATACTTCTTCCAACACAGATTTGTTTGTTCTTATGACATGACAGTCTGTGGCACTTGCAATATTCTCCTCCAACACCGTAACTCATACGCATCAATTCTTCTATAGTCTTCCTTATTCACTGTCCAACTTTCACGTGAGTATGAGGCTATGGATTAGCTTGGGTCAGGCACACCTTAATCCTCATGCTGAACACTTTAAAGAGGTCTCATGCAGCAGATCTGCCTAATGCAAAACGTTGTTTGATTTGACTGCTGCTTCCATGAGCAGTGACTGGGAATTCAAACAAAATGAAGTCTTTGACAACTTCATTACTTATATTCCTAGTATTTTTTAAAAGTGTCAATCATAAGATTTATTCATTTAACCAATAAATATGTATTGACCATCCAACTAGGTACTATGCCCGGCACTGGGAAAAGAATGGAAAAGTAGAAAGCCCTAAACTTCAAGGAATTCATATTCTGGTAATATATAACAAAATAAATCATAGTTGGCTTAAGTGTAATACAAATACGTAGCAGGGGAACTTGACATAGTAAGACTTAAAATATACGAAATACATTTAAATTCATCACAAATATCAGGAGGATGCCCTAAAAGGTGGAGAATTGGTGTGGTGCTTGGGAGTTCATGCGCTGGACTGCAAGGTTGGTTTGAATCACAAGGTTGGCAGTTCAAGCTTACCAGTCGCTCCTCGGAAACCATATACAAGGTTACTATGAGTCATAACCTACTCAACGGCACTTAACAACAAACAACCCTAAAAGGTACCAATACCAGTCACTCCTTAGAAATCCTATACAGGGTCAGTATAACTTCGTAAAGGGCTCAATGGCACTTAACAACACCCCTAAAAGGTGAGAAAAGATTTCCACTCTCCTTTGTAATGTTGTTGTTGTTGTTAGTGCTATCAAGCTCCGACTCACAGCGACCCCTGTACAGGGTTTCCTAGGAGCAGCAGGTGAGTTTGAACAGCCAACCTTGCAGTTCAAACCGACCTGGAAATGAAGTGCTTATCCTAATGCACTCCTCCTTTGTAATGTTTTGTCCTTTGGAGTCAGTTCTGACTCACAGTAGCCTGTATAGAGGTTCTGACATTGTAAATCTTTATGGAACAGAAAGCCTTGTCTTTTCTCTGTACAATGGCTAGGAGCTTCGAACTGCTGACCTTAAGGTTAGCAGCCTGACCCAAAAAAACTATTAATGAAAAAAAAAAAAAATTAGTATATGCCCAAGGTGGGAAATCAATAAAGATATACCAACATTAAATTTAATTCACTATGTTGTTGGTAAGTGTCATTGAGTCAGTTCCGACTCATAGCAACTCTGCATGGGGCAGCTGGTGGGTTTGAACTGCCAACCTTGAGGTCAGCAGTCTAGTGCTTATCCTACAGTGCCACCACTACATTCCTCTACAATTCATAAAATTACATTTGGATCATGTAAAAACAATTTAAACTCATCAAGATGTACTTTTTTCTTGAACCTCTTATCTCCACCATCCTAGTATTTCCTGCAGAGCACCCACCCTCCTCCTGATCATCTCCAACATACTTTTCTCTGTCCAGTTCACTGAATGGGAGAGCTACCCAAGACTCTATTTAGGTCCCAGTTTAAAGGAAGTTATTCCTGACTAAAAGGAGCCCTGGTGGTGCAGTGGCTAACTACTTGATTGGGTAACCAAAAGATCAGTGGTTCAAACCCACCAGCTGCTCCAAGGAAGAGAGAGATGACAGTCTGCTCCAAGGAAGAGAGTGATCACAGTCTGCTTCCTTAAAAATTACCCATCCACTGCCACCTTGTCGATTTCAACTAGTGACAGAGTAGAATTTCTCCATAGGGTTTCCAAGACTGCAAATCTTTACAGGAATAGAGAGTCTCATCTTTCTCTCACAGAGCAGCTTATGGATTTGAGCCCTCGACCATAAGGTTAGTAGTCCAATGTTTAACCCACTTTACAGCCTTGGAAGCCTTGTACGTGGGGCAAGTCCCACTCTGTCTTACAGGGTCACTATTAGTTGGAATTGATTTGACAGCAATGGGTATTCCTGAGTAAAGGACAAGTGTGTATTCACAGATTCTATTTCCGTTTTCCTGGTTCTTTAGAGTCCTCTATAAACTATTGTGTGACACTGTAGATAAGCACTCAACTGCAAAGTCAGTTTGAATTGCAAGGTTTGTGGTTCAAACTTACTAGCAGCTCCTCAGAAACCCTACAGAGAGTTGCTATGGGCCAGAATCAACTCAATGGCACTTAACAATAACAACATAAACTGGGGGGGAGAAGGAGAAGGACATGGTGTATATTCAACCAAGCAATTTATCACCAGAAAAATAATTCATCTTTCATTCATGCTTTTCCTCATTATCCTAATTATTTCACACCAATTCAGCCCCCATAGGCCACATGAGGCCTTCAAAATCATTTGGTCTGGCCCAGTCAGTTCCAGCTATCATGTTGTTGTTGTTGTTGTTAAGTCCTATCAAGTGTGGCCATCACATTAGGGGTGAGTTAAATATTTGTCCAAATACAGCAGGCTAATTTTTATGTTGCTAATTTTGAATAGCTCGCAAATGATGCTATAAATTTTGGCAGTAAAAAGGTTCCCCACTTTAGCGGTTTAACATTTCTGAGGAGAAGCTGCTGAGTTTGAAAAGCTGCCCTTGCAGTTCAAACTGACCTTGCGGTTCAGTGCTTATCCTACAGTGCCACACCAGGACTCCAAAAACATCCATATAATTCATTTATTCGTTAATTCAATAATTATTTAATGGGGCACTTACTATGTGTAAAACAGCATGGAATATTCTGTGATAATAGAAATCTTCTAATGTATACTGTCCAATATGGTAGCCCCTAGCCACATATGTGGACTTCTGGTGTAGTGCTGTAGATGAGCACTGGATGTGAACCACAAGGTCTCCTAGCTGCTCCTCGGACACCCTAAACAGGGTTGCTATGAGTTGGAACCAACTCGACAGCATTTAACAATGACAGAACTTAGATAATATTCACTCCAGCTCCAGGTAACAGGGGGAAAACCCTAGAAACTGAGGCCCAGAAGGAACACATAACTTTTTTAAGAAAACACAGTTCATATTTAAGTGAAACCTGGTCTAAAATCTTTCTGTTAGAAGCAAATTTTTCAAATATTTGATCTAGGGTCCTTCTCTTATGCCAAAGAATGGTAAAAACCAGAAACACACACACACACACACACACACATATATATATATATAAGACATGAGCCATACCGATGTACTGGCTGTAGCACCCTGGAATGTTGTAGGTATATCATCTTGTAAATCATTTAGTGAAAAAGGGTGGCTTAAGTCTGACTCTGCGATAGTCTTTCCAGATGAATTGACTTCTGCCTATAAAAAAGACACACCCAAGAGCAGTTATTACAGGAAAAGTACAAAATAATCCACAAGCTGTTAAATTTCTTTTCCTAGGTTTTAATTGCTAGTTTAATATAAATTTTACCATCAGTTAACCATTCTTCAGGAGAAGGAATGAGGCTTTCTGCTCCCATAAAGATTTACAACCTTAGAAACCCTATACAAGTCACTATGAGTCAGAACCAACTCGTTGGTACACAACCATCACCACCATAACGAGTTACGCACTGAGCACTTGTACATCTCACACTGTGAGAGGTATCCTAAGAGGAGAAAAAGACAATCCCTGTTCTTAAAGAGCTATTTGGTAAGGATGAAAACCAAAACTCACAGCCCACAATCCACAATTTCAAAATCCAAAAATCTTTTACAACTAAAAATTATGCTTTTTAGTAATTTCCATGAGGTCACAATCAACATTCATGGAAAACAGCACTCAAGAAATTAAGAGATGTATTACATTAGGCAAATCTGCTGCTATAAAAGAAAGACCTCTTTAAAGTGCTCAAGAGCAAAGATGTCAGTGTGAGGACTCAGATGTGTCTGATCCAAGCCATGGTATTTTCAATCGCCTCACATGCAAATGAAAGTTGGATAGTGAATTAGGAAGATCTTAGAGGAATAGATGCATTTGAACTATGGTATTGGCAAAGAATACTGAAAGTGCCAGAAGAACAAATGAATGTCTCAGAAGAAGTACAGCCAGAATGTTCTGTAGAAGCTAGGATAGCAAGACTTCTTCTCTTGTTCTTTGGACACACTGCAGGAGGGACCAGTCCCTAAAGAAGGACATCATACTTGGTAAAGTGGAGGGTCAACAAAAAAGAGGAAGACTCCCAATAAGATGGATGACAGTGTTTCATTCTGTTGTGCACAGTCATTATGAGATAGAATTGACTGGATGGCACCTAACAATAAAAGAACTAAACCAAACCTGTTGCCATTAACTCAATTCCAACTCATAGCAACCCTACAGGACACAGAATTGCCCCACTAGGTTTCCAAGGCTGTAATCTTCATGGAAGCACACTGCCACATCTTTTTCCCAGGGGTTGGCTGGTGGGTTTGAATCACTGACCTTTCAATTAGCAGCCAACACTTAACCACTATGCTACCAGGTCTCCAAAGATGGTTTGTGTACCATATTTTCCAATATCTAATAAAAGATGATACACAAATTACATCAGGCCCCAAGATTTTCAGATAAGTGATGTAAGTGAGCACCCCTTCTTCGAGGCACTACTATAAAATAGAAGGAAACATTTCTTCCAAGAACTGGACCCTGAAGGACACTGCATTACAGAGTCCAAGCTTTTAACCACTATGCTATAATACTGTTATAAATAGTATTAATACTTTTCAATTTAAAAAATTATTTTTAAAAAACCTTACTGCAATAGAATAATAGTTTTCCTTTCTACCCAGAATTCTACAGTAAACAAAAGGGTTACATAATTAGAATTTGTTTATGAATGTATAGTATAGTACCTTAAAGCTGATTTGTCGAGCCAATTCCTTGGCTTCTCGGTCAGCCTGGCTAGAATCACTTCCAGATTTTAAAGGCAACAGGGTATTCTTCATGGCGGAGCCACATCCCTCACAGCAGAAATCTTGGGATCTGGCAGAAATAATATTTTTTTAAGCATAAATGATCTCTCTTACAGAGCCATTCCAACACTGAATAAATTATATTGGCCAATTCTACATCACATATTCCCATTTGCTCTAGGGTTAGAAAAATAAGGTTTAATTTTAGAAAAATAAGGTTTAATTATAGCTCTGAGACAAATAGGTTGTTGTTACATTTTTTTTTTTTAATCTAGGGCTTTTACATTCTTTTTTTCCCCTCCTAAAATATTATCTAAATTAAAATCACCTACTACACTGTTCTCAAGACCACACATAACAAGCCTACTTTAAGTCTGTAAAAAAGTTAATTAACAAACTCAAATTGTCTTTGTTTTAATAAGAACATATATAAAGCAGTAAAGAAGTCAGTTAAAAAGACAATTTACTTAAGAGTTAAAATCATAAAACTCTGAACAAAATATAGGAGTAATGCTTTGGGACCTAGTTTTTGACAACAGATTTTTAGATGTGGCAGCAAAGTACAAGCAACAAAAGACAAAATAGATAAAATAGACAATTGAAATTTAAAACTTTTCTGCACTTCATCAACAAAGTAATGAGACAAACTATAAAAAGGGATAAAGTATTTGGGATCCATATATCCAAATAGGGCTTACTATCCAGAATATATGAAACAATGATAACCCAAACAACCCAAGTAAAAATTGGGCCAAGGACTTGAATAGACTCCAGGCACTATCCCTCATAGTCTTTGTGAACTAACTGACCTTACCCACCTGCAAGACACGGCCAACACCTTGTCTCCCTTTCTTTCATAATAAGAATGTGCTAAAAATATGAAAGATAAAATGCTTTCAGCTATTTGGACAAATGAAGCACTATAGAAATCCTAGCTTCAACAATGTACTTTCTAAATTATGGCTTTTTGCCCCCATGAAGAACTGCCTCCTTTGCCATGAAGCTAGAAGAATTGGATAGTGTGCCTGGCTACCATTACGAAGTACTCTGATCAAAGTTTCTATAGAATAAGACAACTCAAAAAGGGAGAAATGCAGACTAGAATTTCATATTCTCATGGAATTCAGACTTTCTGGAGCCAATGAGGTTGGATGAACCCCCAAAACTATTGACCTCCAAAACTACTGATCTAAAATCATTTTTAAGCCTTAAAAAAATTCTAAGTCTTTTAAAACAACTATAACTTAGCTTAAATAGTAAAGCATGTGCACCTTGAACACTGTGCTCCTTTAAAAAAACTATCTATATGGAATCAAATTGACAACAGCAACTTGGAAGGTTAGGTAGGAAATCTAGGAGGCAGTCAGACTACATTAATGGGGAAGAAGAACTCAGGACAGGAGGTGATGGATGAGAATGGCTGCACAATTTGAAAAATGTAATAAATGTCACTGGTTTATACTTACAGAAATTGTTGAATTGGTAATTTTTTAATTGGTAATGTTTTGCCAAGTATATATTTAACAACAATAACTTCAACAACAACAACTGCCCTAAAGGTTTGACATAAGAATTAAAGTAAATGTGAATATAAAACCATATAGTTACATTGCTAAGCTTTTTAAAATTGCTTTTTAATCTCACTCTTAGTTCAGTATCATTCAAAACCCTTAGATAGGTCTTGAAGAGTATGTTATTTAGTAGCATCAAATATACAAAATATATGTAAAAGCAACATTAATTTAGTATTTATTGCTAAGTATCTGTTTCTCCATAAGCAGCACTGTTGTCCATATTCCTTTAAATATCACATCCAAATTATTTGCCTCAAAATGGGTTCAGTTTTAACTGGTAAGTCAGATGAAATGTAAGGCAAGTTTTATTTTGAGTAAATCCACAGGATAGTTTTTATCATGGCTAAATGCAAAAATCATTGTTTTAAAAAGCCTCTATCATAGACTTGAGATCCTAGATTATGCACACTGAGAAGTCTAACAAGAAAGCAAGTTTATTCATTTTCCTTTGAACATGAAATCAACTGGATGACAGAATCAACAGAGAATGCCAATATAGGAAATCAAAGAAAAACAACTGCCATGCAGAGTATTTATTATAATTCATGAACAGTAGTAGCTGGAAGTAAGGTATGTGCACAGAAGTTGGGAATAAGGTTTAAAAAAAAAGTTGCTGATAAGAGCAGGGAATCTATCAAATCTTCCAGACACTAAAATCTAACTATTTAACAAGCATGTATAAAGAGAGCCTTTTCTGGGCTGTCCTGGGATAAAATAATTTAATGAACATAAACATCTAAAGGGTGGAAGACAGCAGAACATCCACAACAGGAACATAATCAAAATGAAAAATTGTATCTCAGCACTATCCAAAGAGGGGATGTTTTGAATCTAAAGACGAATCTAGGCAATACAGACAGAAATGTACCTTGACAAATTAGAAGGAGTTAATACCTTTGGGCAAACACTACTTGATAAAGAAAATCTAATTCATTCTAGGTAATGTACTGAGCACCTGACATGAACGCAATACTATAGATACAAAGATGGATAAAGTAGAGTTTTAAATTTTGTGAAAAGCTACATATAAATAACTCCTCTGAATTTTTCCCATTAGTAACAATAAATGGCCATTACTGTTTTTCTATAGAATGTATCTCCCACTGTAGATCAATATTATCAACCACTTTTAAAAACTAGATAGCATAAAATCAATTCTTTAAACGGTTCACTCCTGGAGAAATTGGTCCAACTGAATTTCTAAAATAGCATAGGTAAGACCACATCCTATTGTCATGGTAACTAAGAAAGTAAGAGACAGTCTATTTCCTCCTAGTCATCATCCAGAATAGCACTTGGATCTAAGATCAAATAACTGGGGTCTTAAAAGCTGTGAGTGGCCATCTAGCGTACAATGAATGAGCCCCATCTAGAGCAAAGAAGAGTTAAGAAAATCCAAGATATAAGAAACAATTAATCCAAAGGACTCATGGACACGCAAACATTAGTCTCTATGACCCTGAGACCAGAAAAACTGGATGACACTACCACGGCTGAAAGGGATCACAATGGGAGGTCCTGGAGAGAGTGTGAGAAAAGTGTGGAACTCAACATCACTAAAATATCAGTGTCTGTCAGACTGGTGGGACCCCAGGAGTATGGCACTTAGACACTCACTCTAGACAGGCCTACAAGGTGAACAGTAATACTAGGGAGGAGTTCAGTCCTTAGAACAACAAACCACGTGAGATCCAAATGGCAGCATTTGTCCAGGGATAAACTCAAAAGGCAGGCAGGATTAGGTAAAAAGGACAAAAGGAAATGGTAAACTGAGTGAGGAAATGAGAAGAGTACTTACTGTTCAATTGTAGGGATTGCAATCAATGTCAAAAATTAAAATGCATATGAGCTAGTCAATGACAAACTAATTTGCTATGTAAACTTTCACCCAAATCACAGTTTCTAAAAATTAAGTAAAAATTTTTTTTAAAGAATGAAATGTAACACTTACTTTTTGGCAAGTGCTCTTCTTTCCTCAGGTGTGTAATCTAGAGACCCTATAGCTCCTTCTCCTTTTGTTGGCATAAATCCAATGATGGCTAATAATGCTGTTCTTACTGAAATAAAAAGTAAACATCAATCTAAGGTGATTTGTAAAAGAAACTGGTTTACTTTGGAAAGAAAAAACAGGCTTTCGACATAAAGGGTGTACGAAGGGGCTAGGAGGGCTGCCTTATAATGACGATGCCGTGCAGTGCAGTGAATTATTCCTATCTGTACTCACTGTAACACTCACCAAACATTTTTGCCCTGATGGATCTGGTTAAGATAAGGTGGGAGAAGGTGCTGATAGGATGAGATGATGCAGTTGTGAATGTTTAACAGAGTTACTGTGATGATAAACACTTGGGACTCTAACGTGGGTTTATAATAAGCAATCTCAGAAGCAGGAAGGGGGATCTCACTATCATCAAAGAAGAGATGAGTGAAGTGCATTCTTTGGGCCCCGAGATCCCTGTGTACGGAAATGCCTCAACCCTGGATCAGAAAGCTGTGATACCACAAGAATGGTAGAGGAGCAGTAGCAACAGCAGCAGCAGAACCAAAAGCTAGAGGACAATACAGGGTGGTGGGCTTCTCCACACGAGGAGCAAGTAAAGCTGAGTGACTTTGGGCAGGAAGCTTGCTTGCACAGTGGGATACCTGCAGGTACTTACTTGGGGAGCTAGGTTTGCTGACCTACAGAACTACTGCACAGTGCTTGCAGGCTAAGGCTTATGATGGGGTGGTGTGTCCTCCGAGTTTTCCACCGTTGGCTGAGTAGACAGAGGCCTCGCTGTGGACACAGCTAAGAGGCTGTCCTGACTGGAATAGAAATGCCCTGAGCATTTCTGACCTTAAATTGTAGCTTGCAAACTTCCCTTAGCGCGATGGATGGGGCAAGTGGCAGCATCAATGGGCTCGAGCTTGGCAACAATAGTGAGGTTGGCCCAGGATTGGGCAGTGTTTCGTTCTGCTATACATAAGGTCACTGTGAGTCAGCACTGACTCAATGGCACCTAACAACAACAACAACAACTTCCCTAATCCAGCCTTTGGTATGGATTGCATCTCAATGTAAAGAAAACAAAAATCCTCACCACTGGACCAATAAACAACATTCTTATCAACGGAGAAAAGATTGAAGTTGTCAATGACTTCATTTTTCTTGGATCAACTATCAACACTCAAGGAAGAAGCAGTCAAGAAATCAAATGACGTATTGCATTAGGCAAATCTGCTGCACAAGACCTTTGAAGTGTTGAAGATCAAAGATGTCAGCTTGAGGACTAAGGTGCACCTGACCCAAGCCATGGTATTTTTCAGTAACCTCATATGTATGTGAAAGCTGGACAGTGAATAAGGAAGACTGTAGAAGAACTGATACTTTTAAGTTAGGGTGTTGGGAGGAGAATATTGAAAGTGCCATGGGCTGCCAAAAGAACAAACAGATCTGTCTCAGAAGTACAGCCAGAGTGCTCCTTGGAGGCCAGATGGCCAAACTTTGTGTCTCATACTTCAGACATATTGTCAGGAAGGACCAGTCGCTGGAGAAGGACATCATGTTTGGTAAGGTGGAGGGTCAGAAAAAAAGAGGAAGATCCCCAGCAAGATGGACTGGAAAAGTGGCAATATCAATGGGCTCAAGCATGGCAACAATTGTGAGGTTGGCCCAGGATCAGGCAGTGTTTCATTCTGTTGCACATAGGGTTGCTATGAGTAGGTACCAACTAGATGGCACTTAGCAACAACAACAACTTCCCTAATAAACCCCATAGCTGTGAGTATGGTACATGAGTTCTGTGCCATTACAGTGAATTACTGAGTAGAAAGTCCTGAGGAGGGATGCAGCTTGGAATCGGGAGTTGGGTACTGCCAACAATGATTTCTTCTAGAAAGATTAGCATGCACGAGGCTGGTCCCTGTAAGTGGAGATTGAAGACATCCCAAATGTCTAACTTTCCTAAAGAGCTTCAGTGCAGCTTGGACTTCTTCCTTCAGTACCATTAGCTCTTGATCATATGCTACCTCTTGGAATAGCTGAACATTGAGCATTTCTTTTTGGTACAGTGACTCTGTGTATTCCTGCATTTTCTTTTGATGCTTTCTGCATCATTCACTATTTTGCCCATTTGTTAAGTGCTGCTGAGTGCATTCTGACTCAAAGCAACCCCGTATGGGGCTTCCAAAGAGCATCTGATGGGTCTGAACTGCTGTCCTTGTGGTTTGCAGTCCAGTGCTGATCCTACAGCACCACACCAAGAGTCCGTTTTGCCCACAGAATCCTTCAATATAAAAGTTAAGGCTTGAAGTTTTTCTTCAGTTCTTTCAACTTGAAAAACGCCGAGTGCTACCTCACTCTATAATTCCTGATAGCAGTGACTACTACTCCTCCCCTCAGTATTCTTCCCTGCATCCCAGAGTAAGATTTTTTGCAGATAGCAAGAACCAGACATAGAGAAGCATTTTTATTATTTATTCAATAATATAAAATTATTTATCCAAACCAGTTTTAATCTCAAGAAGATGATATACTTTACTATGAAATAACTAAAATTATATAAAATGTATATTCACTATAAACTAATACTCACTACTCCATGAAGGCTGCCAAGTTTCAGGATGGTGCCCTGAGATGCTCAAACAGATTTTCTTGCCCACTTCAAATCGTCCATTAGCCTTAGGAATAAATAATACACTTTAAAAATAATATATTTGTTGTTAATGTTTTATACTTTCTACTGTAATTTTTAAATAATTAACTCCAAGGAAGCACAGTCTATTAAGTATCCTCTGACAGACATGCCACAAATATTTGTTGGATGCTGAATGAATAACAAAACCCACCTTTCAAAGTTGTTTTAGCACCTTTTTGAAACTGAGATATACAATTGAGATCTAAATAGTTAATATATAAAGATTTACTGATATTCTAACTCTGTTCCTTCTATCATACTGGGCTCTATGAAGGATCTAAGAAGACGTAAGGCAAGAGACTATAAGACAAACTCTAGCATAAAATATAAGGACTTAGTATCACCTGGCAAGATGTTTGTGAGAAAGGGCATGGAGAAAAGGTTTTGAGCTTTGAGACAGGAATGCTTTTAAGAAAAATGCTACTATTTGACAGGAACACAGAAAAGAAAGGTAAGAGATAATGATTTCAGTTTTGAACATGGATCTGATTTCTTGATATTGACGATGACCAGCAGACAGGTGGAAACAAAGGTAGGTTGAGGTTAGAATATATAAAGAAACATAATTTGGACCCCATTAACAAATCTTTAAAAACATTTATTTATAAATAATAATAAGTAAATAAAACTTATTTATGCTACTAATAACATCTTACAGTTACCAAGTTTACAGTTTTGCAAATACCTGCACATACATTATCACATTTTATTCTCACTATTACCATAACAACTATACTGAGCAGATCTAAATACCCTCATTTTACAGATGACCACAGGTACAATAACATTGCTATATATGGCACCAAATCAATTCCGATTCTTAGTGACCCCATGTGACAGAAGAGAATCACCCCACAGAGTTTTCTAGGCTGTGACTCCTAGTGTGGCGTTGTAGGATCAGCACTGAACTATAAACCACCAGACTGGCAGTTCAAGCCACCAGCTGCTCCTTGGGAACACTATACAGGGTCGCTGTGAGTCGGAACCAGTTCGACAGCATTTCACAACAACAAACTTTATGGAAGCAGATCACCAGGTTTCTCTCCTATGGAGCCACTGGGTGGGTTCAAACCGTCAACCTTTCAGTTAGCAGCTGAGTACTTATCCAATCACACCACCATGGCTCCTCAATAACATTATCTACTTACCTGGAATCCTGGTGTGGTGCTGTAGGATAAGCACTGGACCGAAAGGTCAGTTTAAACCTCAAGGTCGGCAGTTCAAATTCACCAGCCACTGCTCGGCAATCCTACACAGGTTTGTTGTGGGTCAGAACCAACCTGACTGCACTTAACAACAATGACCCATGCCAGCCACTGAACCCAACACTTTGATATATTAATTCATTGAATCCTAACAACCACACTATCACACGGATGCATTCATTATAACATTAGTATATTCTCAGATACGTAAGTTTCCTAGGAAATTATTTGGGGGGAAAATATTCATTGTTCCAGAGCCTGTATTCAAAAAACAAAATTATAATAATGTTCTACCTTGTTTCTTAATAAAAATAAAAATGAACAGGATTATACTTTGTAGTCACCATGAAGAATTAAACCAAGCATTCCAAAAAGCCAAGAGTTCTTACCGTTAGTAGAATAATGCTTGGTGGCTTCATGGGATACTCTGGTGGCAGTACTATTCGTCCATGATAAACACCACCATCAAAATCAGAATCTGGAGGCCCTCTAACAGTGAAGTGCCATTCAAAAAGGTTATCCTGAATAAAAACAATAACCAGTAAGGATTTATTAGTATTAACATTTGATCACTTGTACCAATATACATTTTAGAAATACTACTTGTTAGGTGCCATCGAGTTGGCACAAACTCATAGCAATCCAATTACTAGGTCAGAATCATTTAAATGTTGTACATACTATTGCTAGAACAGTTTCTAATCATAAAATCTGTTATAAGAATAAAAGTTGGCTATTTAATCTAGCTTTAATGGCCCCTAAGAGCTAAAAGCTTTTTAAAATAAGTATGTTAAAACCTTCTAAGTTCTGTTATATATGAGTAAGATTACAGATTTAATTAAATTGGAAATTATCCTTGGAAGAAGAACAATTAGTGAAATAATAATACAATTAAATTATTATCATAATTCAGACCTCATTAACAAATCTTTAAAAAGATTTATTTATAAATAATAATAAATAGAACTTATTTATGCTACTAATAACATCTTGCAGTTACCAACTACTTTACAGTTTTGCAAATACCTGCACATACATTATCACATTTTATTCTCATTATTAACATAAAAACTATACCAAGCAGATCTAAATACCCTTATTTTACAGATGAAAAGATTGTAAAGGGGTGATGATGCTTGTACAAAAAGTGTGGGTTGACTGTAAGGTCCCCTCTAGAGGTAGGGCCTTCCCAAATGTAATGAGTCTGAGGTTTTTCCCACTTTCCCACCCTCACATTCAAGACCTACTGCCAATTTAGCATCTGAAAACCATTTTATAGAGACCAGAAAACTGCTTCCTTCATTCTGAATGTCTAATGAAATAAAAGGAATTAAATACAGTAATAAATCACATCAAATATATCAATATTAACTTAAAGCAATAAAAAAGCATTTTAAAGAATTTGTCATCAATATTAAAGTATAAAAACTCATATAAGGATGCAGAGATAGAAACTAACCTCTAAAGGTTGTGCATGGTAATGATCTGTTGGATCTTTCAATTCTGCTGCTTCTTTCATTAGACGTTTAACAGCTGAAATCAAGTTCACAACAGGGAAACATTAAAATATACTTGCCCCAGCAATAAGTACAGATTTACAAACCTAATGAAAAATATGGAGAAGAGTAGTTCAACTGAAGGAGCCACGGTAGCATATTGTATTACATGTTGGGCTGCTAACCACAAGGCCAGCAGTTTGAATCCATGAGACAATCTGTGGGAGAAACATGAGGCTTTCTGTTCCCATAAAGATTTACAGTCTCAGAAACCCTACTACAGGGTCGCTATGAGTCAGAACCAACTCGACAGCATGCAGCACTAGCTCAACTGAACACAGGGTAAAGGTTTAATTATGAGGTAGTATCAATGAAGGAGGCGGTAAGGAAAGAGTCACAAGGCAATAGAAGAATGACTTATTTTAAAGACATATATACTGACACCTGTGAGAGCAAAAACTCAGTGGGACTGCCTTGTTTTCCTGGGCCTTACAAGTCTCCCCTTCCCCCTTCGGCCCCTTGACTGAGTATAGTCAACACTTTTCTATCACTCTTTTATTAAAGTGGGCAATATCTGAGTTTTCTTTCTCTGAAAGGTTTCCACTTTACACAGGTTTTACTGGATATACTTCCTATGTGGTTACTGTTAAGTGTCATCTAGTTGATTCGTACTCATAGCCACTTTGCATAGGGTTTCTGAGGAGCAGCTGGTGGTAGCAGTTATTTAAATGCTTTACAAATAAACTTATTTAATCCTCAAAGCAAAGCTATGTGATAGGTACTGTTGCAGACCGTGTAAAGCTGGTCAGAAGTTTGAGGCCCACTGGGCCTGAGTGTTGCAGACAATGCAGGTCACAGGCTCTGAGGAACAGATTCTGGCCACCGGGCAGTCATAGCAAATTGTTTTTCATCTTCGTGTTCAGGTATGTTTTTTATTTAATTCCAAACATGAGCCCTTAATATCCACAGATAAATGTAATATTTTCCTAAAGCCGAGACTATAAAGGTTTCAAGGTTAAACCTTTCTCCAAAGGATTAACTAAAAATAGCTTGGCTACTTCCCAGTTCTTTGTTCTATAGACAAAAGGACATCCTCCCTAATTCAGGCTATTCAGCCAAAGTTCCTGAAAACCTGGCTCAGGAAGCCAAAATAGTGGGACTCCTCCCAAGCCTTTTGACCTTCCCTCTCACCTTCACCCAACTGAGCTCAGGGGCTACAGATATGTTAATTGAGCATGAGAAACCAAGTTGCGGGCCTGGGATTCAAACCAGCGAAGCTCGATGTTAAGTTACCTGAATGTCTGGAAAATTACTGATGTTAGCTGTACCTTGTCTTAGTCCCTCCCAGCTTGGTGTGAAGCTCCTCCCCTAAATAAAACAGAGACGCAGGCCGGCCCAGGTGTGCATTACGGCTGGCAGGCGGTGCATTATGGCTTGCAGGCTGGGCATTACAGCTGGCTAGGTGTGCCTTACAGCTTGGAGGGCATGCAGTACAGTTTGCAGGGCAGTGAGTTGCTGCCTGCAGAGGCCACGATGCCTGTAGTCCCAAGTCTGCCCACCAGTGATGCATCCACCCTGGTTTCGGGGTGTCTCTTTGTCTCCCTCTTTCTGTCTTTCTGTGTATTCTTTTGCTATCCCTATCGCCGCCGGATATCCCCTCCTCATGAACCAAACACTCGTGAACAACACAACTATGTCGAGGACAGTCCCCGACAAGGTACTACTTATATACCCACTCTCCAGATGAAGAAACTGAGACATGGAGAGGTACATAATTTACCAAGAGCAAACAGCTAGTAAATGAGAGACATGGGTTCTAACACACTTCTCTGATAAAATTTAACTCTAGCTGACCCAACTCTTCTAATTCAGCACCTATACCCAAGCAATTAAGGAGCTCTGGCAGCATAGTGGTTACAAGTAAAGGGTTGCTAAGTTCAAGGTCAGCAGTTCAAAACTACCAGCCATTCAGTGGGAGAAAGATGAAGCTTTCTGCTCCCGCAAAGATTTACAGCCTCAGAAACTCTATACAGGGTCACCATGAGTCAGAACCAACTCCCTGGCACACCACCACCACCAAGCAGTTGAGCATTACTACTAGAGGACAAAAAAGAAATCACAGTAGCTGATATATCAACAGCATTATAAAATCATTATAAATAACCTCTACTGGAACTCAAAGTTACCCAATGTTCCTACATCTCTCTAGTAAGTCCACCAGCCCACTCCCTCCAAGACTACTTCAATCTACTCACTTCTCTCTCTTCCCTTCTGCTTTTTCAGTTAATGGCACAACCTCTAATTTCCATAATAAATCAGTTAGGTGGAGTGCACTCATTCACCTGCTACAATCTACAAGCCTATCTGTATCTGCACCCCTTTCCTTCCCTACTGCCTCTGAGCAGTCAATCCATTGAGCCGTGCTCTGAATCCCACATTCTCTCACTGTAAGCACTAGGGAATCTATTAGACCACTATCAGACTGGGAGAGGCATCAAAGGTAGTCCAAGGCACCTGACACTGCTTGAAAACCCTGTGAGAGGTTGACTAGGGTAGTGGGAGGACCAAGTAGACACCTAACCCAAGAGCAGATAGAATAGGAAAGGAACTCAGGTACTGACATTTGAAAAATAGACAAGAGAAATTACCTAGGTGGTGATGTGATTAGGCAGAGGAAACAAGAAAAGTAAAACGTGTGGAGGCACAGGTTAGACTGTTACAGGGAGAGAAGCACTTCCCACACATACAATCAGAAGACTTCTGTTTTTATCTGAGGTTTTGTATGAAATTTCATTTTAATCAAAGGTTCTTGGGTTGCTATCCTATTTCATAATTATTAGCATTCTTTTCTCTCTCCTATTCCAAACTACAAATGTGCTACTTTAGGCAAAGACTTTGTTCATTTGATCATCAAATATTTAGTTCTTATTTTGTGCTAAACGATACAGCTTCAACTGTAAACAAAACATAGTTTTGGTCTCCAAAGAGCTAGAGTTAGAGTGCTAGAGATTGGGCCGTGAGCATGATAAATGTTTCATTAAAACATATATTCCCTGAGGTTTTCCGGCAAGACGACAGACTAGGCAAACACACTACATGGGCCCTCTACAACAAAGATATGAAAAAACAAAACAGACACAGATGAAAATTCTGGCACCTTGAACTTCAGAAGAAAGGTTAAAGAGGTGTATGGCATGCTTGCTGAGAGGAGAGGTACGCAGGGACACCGAGAGAGGCCAGATACAGCTTGAACATCTTGTAAGCAGCAGCTCTGGCAGTGGAGGGAGGTCTGGCAGAGCAAATTCGCGTGGGCTGCAGAAAAGGTGCAATTTCTTCTTTTTCCCTCACACTCCTCTGGTGACCAAATGTGTGGCCAGCTCCCACCCTCATCCACCTCCATTGCAGACTCTGGTCTCAGGAGTTCAAAGCCATATGGTTGGTTGCCAATGTGAGTTGGGAGCCGGCTGTGCTGCTTTGTTGTACCAATTTGGTGCCTGGATTCAGGTGGGTTCCACTCCAGACCTACAAAACCATCAGGGCCACCAGCTCAGCATTTAACCAATCATCCTGCCCCCAACTACCCTGGGGTCCCTAACAGACACTGAAACCAGCTCCATCAAGGGTCACCACAAACTACTTCCGGATTGAGTGCCCTGAACATAGATAACATAGAGGCCAGAATTTCTGATGTCACATCCTTTTTATAACCACTTCAGTAAATCCTTGAATTGCAGTAGCCCACCTGAGATTTCTCCCCTCCAGGTCCAACAACTTCACTGTTGTCACAAATATGAAAACCCCACAATGATCCAGAGACAACAGATAATTTTAGCTCACACAAAGAAATGAGAGAGAATGGTTAAAAAAAAAAATGATCAAGATGCAGAGCCAGAAAATGTTTCTGAAGAAGAAAAGGTAACAGAACTAACTGAAAAATATTTCAAAAGAATGTTAATTAGGTACCTTCAAAGGATCAACAGAAAGATCAAGGAAAGCAAAGGGAACACAATAAAAACTCAAAAATTCAGGATAACTACACCAGAACAAACAGAAAAAAATACATGCAAACTTTGAAACAATACAAAACCTGCAATCAGAAATCCAGAAGATTAATACTAAGATCACAGAAATGGACAATACATTGAAAGGGCAAAACAGTAAACGTGAAGCAATGGAAGCCCAAATTAGGAAGTTAGAGATAAATTTCTCAATACAAGTATACTAGAAGAACAATCAGAAAAAATAAAATAATACAAAGAAAGCCTAAGAGTTCTGTGGGACACTATGAAGAGGAACACCCTATGGGTAACTGAAATTCCAAAAGAGGAAGAAACAAGCACAGAGACAACTGTCAAAGAGTCGCTGGAAGAAAACTTCCCCAACATCATACAAGAAGTTGAATGATCCCCAAACATGATAGACCCCAAAAGAAAACAACTAAGACATATCATAATCAAAGACAAGGAAAGAATCATGAGAGTTCTTCGAGGAAAACAAAAAATCACCTACAAAGGAGAACCAATAAGACTATATTCTGATTTCTCAGCAGAAACCATGCAGGCAAGAAGGCAATGGGATAACATATACAAAACTCTGAAAGAAAAAAATAGACAACGAAGAATCATATACCCAGCAAAGCTGTCCCTCAAATACAATAGCAAAATTAGGACATTTCCTGAAAACAGAAATCAAAGGAATTTGTAATGACCAGACCAAATTTACAAAAAAATTTAGAGTGTTCTTTGGACTGAAAACCAACAATAGCCAAGAACAACCTGAGGTTACCATACGTGACACCACCACCCAGAACTCAATTCAGATGTGGAAGTATTTAAAGTAAAACAAACCTACAAGACAGAAAATAGGAAACCAGAGATATCAATGTATAATTAAGTCAACTACAAAGCAAAAAGAGGAAATAGTGTAGATATAGAACTTCCAAATGGCAAAGAAGTGAAGCAGATTTCAAGAAAAAAGACTGCTTTAGCAGGGAAAAAAAATTAGTAAATTACAAGATAACCTCAAAGAAAAAATAAT